AGAGTCGAACCCATTAAATATTAATCTACATATAAAATATAGAACAATAACTTAACAAAAGAAAGAAATGGCTCCCAAAGGAAGAAACGGTTTCCAGCGTATTGGCAGAAATACAAAAGTTCAGTAATAAAATGAGGTGACGGGGGAGCATGAAGCCGGCTTCCTGGCCAATCGGAAAGCCGGGCGCGGCGTCATTACACGGCACCCGCCTTCTTGATTTGGCCTGCTTCCCGACTAATCAGGAAGCCGGGCAGAGTGTCATTACACGCTGCCCGGCTTCTTGATTGGCCGGGTAGCTGGCTCCATGCTCCCTCGTCACGAGTGACGAGAGAGCATGGAGCCGGCTTCCCGGACATTCAGGAAGCCAGGCAGCGTGTAATGACACTCTGCTCGGCTTCCTGATACTGGAAGTATCGGGCTAGGCATCGGAGCATTTGGGCAAGTACGAGTACTCGCCCAAATACTCGGCACTGATACTGATACTAGTATTGATATTGGTGCATCCCTAGTGAAAATATAAAAAAAAATTTTACATGCATGTTTCCTTTTAAACCCAGCTGACGTAGTGCTTAGGCTCGATATGTAAAACAAGAATAATTTTTTACTTTTATTTTAAAAAATCATTTTTTTTCTCTTTGTGGTCTGCAGCGCGGCTGGGTGTTGAGCCCAAACAACTACTACAGTTTCAGCAGCCAACAGCAGAATCCGGAGGAGGCCACAATCCCTTCCACAGAACTAGCCAAGCAAGTGATCGAGTACGCCCGCCAGCTGGAGATGATCGTATAAGGACAGGAAGTCAGCGCAGCCAACTTCCCACTTGTGTTCTCTCTTCTGGTCTCTCTGTTCACTCACCGGTTTTACTCGTATTTTATAGACAATTTAGGTTGGGGCAGGGGATCTTTTCTAAAATAACGCGGAAACACCCTTCAAACAGGCCTGGCTGATGGAGAACTTACCCTTCACCGTGACTTGAAAGCTGCCTTCATTTGTGAGGAACCCGGTGCAGACAGGAGGAATTATTCTGTTTCTATAGCGATAACCGTGTATTTGTTACTTTGCTCAGTAAAGGAGCCAAAATCCAAACCTTTTGCAGTATTTGTTTTCAATTTGCAGGACACAAAAGGGATAAAACAGGTAGGTGCACTGGTAGTGACTGCAGAGTGTACCAGCTTGCAGGTTTTATGAAT